CTTGGGTCTTGGATAAACTGAAAGCTGAACATGAACATGGTATCACCGTTGATATCTCCCTGTGGAAATTCGAGACCAGCAAGTATTATGTGACCATCACTGATGCCCCAGGACAAAAACACTATCAAAAACATGATTACAGGGGATCCCTGGGTGGCGCAGCGGTTTAGCGCCTGCCTTTGGCCCAGGATGCGATCCTGGAGACCCGGGATCGAATCCCACGTCGGGCTCCCGGTGCATGGAGCCTGCTTCTCCCTCTGCCTGTGTCTCTGCCCCTCTCTCTCTCTCTCTCTCTCTCTCTGTGTGACTATCATAAATAAATAAAAATTTTAAAAAAAATTAAAAAAAAAACATGATTACAGGCACATCTCAGGCTGACTGTGCTGTCCTGATTGTTGCTGCTGGTGTTGGTGAATTTGAAGCAGGTATCTCCAAGAAGGGGCAGACCCAGGATCATGCCCTTCTGGCTTAAAACACTGGGTGTAAAACAACTAGTTGTTGGTGTTAACAAAATAGATTCCACTGAGCCACCCTAGAGCTGGAAGAGATACGAGGAAATCGTTAAGGAAGTCAGCACTTACATTAAGAAAATTGGCTTCAACCCCAACACAGTAGCATTTGTGCCAATTTCTGGTTGGAATGGTGACAACATGCTGGAGCCAAGGGCTAACATGCCTTGGTTCAAAGAATGGAAAATTACCTGTAAAGATGGGAATGCCAGTGGAACCACACTGGTTGAAGCTCTGGATTGCATTTTGCCAACTCATCCAACTGATACACCTTGTGTCTGCCTCTCCAGGACGTCTACAAAATTGGTGGTATTGGTACTGTCCCTATGGGCCGAGTGGAGACTGGTGTTGTTAAGCCTGGCATGGTGGTCACCTTTGCTCTGGTCAATGTTACAACTGAAGTAAAGTCTGTTGAAATGCACCATGAAGCTTCAAGTGAGGCTCTTCCTGGGGACAATGTGGTCTTCAATGTCAAGAACGTATCTGTCAAAGATGTTTGTCGTGGCAACGTGGCTGGTGCTAGCAAAAATGACCCACCAATGGAAGCAGCTGGCTTCATGGCTCAGGTGATTATCCTGAACCATCCAGGACAAATCAGTGCTGGATGTGCACCTGTGCTGGATCATCACACAGCTCACGTTGCTTGCAAGTTTGCTGAGCTGAAGAAGAGAGATTGTCATTCTGGAAAAAAGCTGGAAGATGGTCCCAAGTTCTTGAAATCTGGGGATGCTGCCTTTGTTGATATGGTTCCTGGCAAACCTATGTGTGTTGAGAGCTTCTCTGTCCTCTCTGGGCCGTTTTGCTGTTTGTGACATGAGACAGACGGTTGCTGTGGGTGTCATCCAAGCAGTGGACAAGAAGGCAGCCGGAGCTGGCCACGTCTCCAAGTCCATCCAGAAGGCGGCTCAGAAGGCTAATTGAATATTATCCCCAACACCTGCCACCCCAGTCTTAATCAGTGGGGAGGAACGGTCTCAGAACTCTGTGTCAATTGGCCATTTAAGTTTAATAGTAAAAGACTGGTTATTGATAACAATGCATCATAAAACCTTCAGAAGGAAAGGAGAATGTTTTGCGGACCTTTTTTGTGTGTGTGTGCGCGTGTATGGCAGTTTTAAGTTAGTTTTTAAAAATCAGTACTTTTTAATGGAAACAACCTGACGAAAAATCTGTCACAGAATTTTGAGATCCATTAAAACAAAAGTTTAATGAGAAAAAAAAGCTTTCACCAACTCGTGTGCTGGCAAGGCCACTTTAAAAAAAAAAAAAAAAAGACTGGTCCTGGCTGAGGCAACATAAACAGGTGATTTTTTTTTTTCTTTAGTTGAAAAAGACTTGCCTTTTGACAAGTACTCAGTGTTACTACCATTCCTTCTGTTGCTATTCTAAAAGTCTGGCTCTGTGGATGGTATTTCATTTCTTTTTTTTTTTTTTTAAGATTTTATTTGACAGAGCACATGCAGGGTGAGCAGCAGGCAGAGGAGAGGAAGCAGCAGGCTACCCACTGAGCAGGGAGCAGGACTCGGGGCTCGATCCCAGGAACAAAGGATCATGACCTGAGCCGAAGGCAGAAGCTTCACTGACTGAGCCACCCAGGTGCCGCTCTTTTTTCTTTTTTTAAAGATTTATTTATTTTGAGAAAGTGTGAGCAGGGGCAGGGGAGAGAAAATCTCAAGCAGACTCCTTGCTGAGCACAGAGCCTGTCACAAGGCTTGATTCCACAATCCTGAGATCATGACCTAAGATGAAATCAAGAGTTGGACACTCAACTGACTGAGCCACCCAGGCACTCCTCATTTTCTTAAAAATAGTAATTCTAACATCTAATTTTAGTTCAGCGGAATCTGTTCTTCCCAAATTGATAGTTTTTAAATAAAGTATATGGGACTCATGTACAATACAACAGATGTAGACTGTCATATTTTCTCATCCAACCTAATTCCAGGAATTTCAGACTTTTTATGTAGGAAAAAAACTTCCAAGAACACAGAAATATACTGTATAATAGTTTTATTTTTCTCATTTTACTATTTTTACATTTTATGCACAAATATTTTTTATCTGAGTAAAAATAGAAAATAAGTTTCATGTAAAATTACAAAAAAAAATAAAAACCACAAAGAAATACATAATTGTTATTATGACCGTATAAGTGTCTTTATTTAAAGAGTAAAAATGTATGCAAAAATCCTCCTTCCTTTTACAAAAGACAGAATATTTTTTTCTGGCAGCAAGTGAAATATCACTGAAATATCAATATTTTTACACCTTCTAGATGTGAAGACATTAAGTTAGTCACAGGTTGTTTTGTAATTATGAATCTTAAAACATTTTTGTGCTATTTCAAAGATACACTAGTTCTTTTTAAAAGGCAGTAGCATAAAATGATGGACATGGAAAACAGCTGACCTCACCAAAAATGTTTGGAGGCACCACCTTTTAAAAAAATGTCACACTTGAGTTAATGGGAAAAAGAAAACAACTAAACCATTTCTCTAATTAACTGACATGGATTGATACAAAAATGAATGTGATGAATTGATACATGTGAAGATCAACAACACATAGCAATTATTTAATGTGTCTGATTTTCCGGTATCAACACAAATTTCCAACTTCAGGCTAGATACACATCAAAGTTGGCTCAGTAAGAACCACACATGGAAAACAAGTTTTAAAACAAAAATGGACATTTCCTTATTTTGTACTTAGAGGGTACAAAAAATGACTAACCATTTTATCTTTCTTCCTTTAAATACACTGTAAATTCCTCTATGGAAAAGTTATTCATAAAAACAACAAAGAATGAATAGCATGAATTGTATTTTCTTTTACAACACAAGTTCTCTTTCAATAAAAGAAAAGACTGCCTGGCTTTCTGATAATGTAACCTTAATAAGAACAATGGAGACAGCTTAATATTTAGGTTGAGAAAACGTAACTCAAGTTTCTTCAATCATGTGGGAGAATCAGTCTCATGACTTCACCTACGTTCTGGTGCATAAAATGATGGTGAAAGATGGAGATGAAAAAGAAAAAAAGAAATAGCACCTGTATGAGAATGATCTTTGTTCAAGTTGTAATGGGGAATAAAATTAAAACTGCCAAAGGAAGAAAAATGGATAGAATGTGTCTTTGAAAGAAGGAATCTGAGGAATGCTTAAAGGAGAGGCAGCAATAGTTTGGAGTTCTAAAAGAAACGTGGGTTCCTTGCCTTGAAATATATACAAATATATATAATTGCAACATAAAGAAGTCTGTCATCTTTGCTAAACTTTAATGTCTCCCCAAAAGCATTTTAAATACTAAAAAATTTTGAGCTCTTGATAACATACCAGAAGAATTTACTTCCTTATGTTTTAAAACTATAAGCGACTTGTCAACTCCCCAGATTGTAATATGGTGCAAAACCTTCTTTTTAGCCATTTATTTGTTATCTGAACCTAAAGCTTCTATATATTATTTCATATGGTTATTCTACTCAGATATTCTTGTAGTCAGTGCCCAAAGTAACTGATAGTTTGTCAGTCTATGCTATGTGTTTATAAAAAGGTAAAAATAGAAGTTACAAGTTTTACTCTTTTTAGGCAGCTACCGCAGTCTCAACGACTTAATCATATAGATGAGAACTGACCCTACACATCGCAGTCCTACAGCACACAGCACTTCAAGCTACGGTTTGAGGTTACCAGAAAAGAAGATCAGAGATCCTTCCTCTCCTGCTGGTTCCTAAGATCCCTGCCTTCTGGCTCATTCCAGACTACCGTCTGGTACCAGTATAGCAACTGCTAGTGATGCCTCCTCAACTTATACCCTTTCCTCCTGGTTAGTCAGAAGCATCAACTGAGACCTTAGAAAGCTGCCTAGGGGGGTGGGTTTAAAGAAAATGATGAAGGAGAAGGTGCATAAAGTAACATTTAAGAATCAATCTTCTGCTGTAAGAGGATTAAAAAGCTTTTTGCCAGTATCTCATGATTCACATATAATACCTTAAAACAAAAAGCAAAAAGAAAAAAAGAAAGCAAGCAAAAAAGACATTTCTAGCCATTTCTGTTTAGTGTTAGCTTGTGATAAGAGTTTCATATATATGAGAATCATATAATTAAAACATTTTTTAAATGAGTTATGTTTTAAAATATCTTTCCTTTTGAATACCATTATATCTTCTTATGTATGTGTATAGGTATATATAATAAAACAGTCAATTGGACATATATATAGATATTTATGCTCACACATATATAATATTCAAAAGGAAGAAATTAAGGAAATGGGAAATTTTGTTTTGAGAGCAGACTGCCTATACTGGAGGTCAGAATTTCCTTTTAAAACTATTGGCAAGTAATTTGCTCTTGTCCTGAAAGGTGAAGTACTGCTGACTGAATTAAAGTCTTCATTTCATCAGAAACACAATGACTATATAAGCTGCTTTTGTATAATACACTAGCAGTATAGGGCAATTTTAAAAAAAGAAAGAAAGCCATACCAAACCAAACTAAACCAAACTTTTATTTTCTGGCTGAGGTATACCTTTTCAGTTTTTTAAATCTCTGACAGGAAAAACAGAGATCATTTCAGAATTTTTCTAATAGTTGGTTTATTAGAATTAAATGCCTCTCTTAAAATAATTTAAATTCGTGGCCTGACATTATGAATAATCTATACAGAAAATCCTTAAAATTAGCTTGAGGTAAGCCAAATTTCAACCTGGATCTCCTTCTGCAGCAATGCTCTTTTGCCAGTTGACTTCTTATTGTCCTCTGCTTGCAAATATATAAATTATTTTAATAACCTGATACTCTGTTTAGTAATTAATTAATATTATAATTTTATTTGATATGAATATTTTAGCTCTGCTTGATTAGATGAAACAGGCACACATGCTTTAGCTGTAAAAAATTCCATTTTCTGGTTCTATGTAAAGCAACATCTAAAGCAGCAGAGAGGGGGAAACAGTTATATTTTCAAAAATAGTTATGCCAGACTGTTTCCTGGAGATACTTCATTTATTTTTCATCCTCAGATGCTACTGGCTATTTTTGGTAGGGCTAGACATTAATACTGACCAGTTTAGCTTTCCTGACTGTTAACAAACTATCCCACAATGAACCTGACTTCGTGCTGAAGACATTGTGGTGATCCTTAACATACACATATTCTAAAATATATGCTCAAAGTAAAAAGATCCAAATTCACAAGAGTATGAAATATTTATAAAAAAATCATGCATCAGATTGTACAGTCTAGAAATAAAAGATTCAAATTCAGTAATAAAGGTAAGAGCAATACTTGCTCTAATTATTTAAGAAAGACCTCGGACTCCCAGAAGGTCCTGGGCTCAATTATCCTTTTCCGTCTGCAGAGAAGCAGTAGCCAGGGCTACTGCTGTGACTGGCTGGGCAATCCCATGAAGCTGCATCTTTGCAAGTTTCTTCTGTTCACATTCTGTGACCAAACGGTTCAACTCTGCTGCACTGTATCCAATAAGAGTCTTCAAGTCACAGACAAACTTGTACACAAATCTCTTGCCTTGAACTTTACAAATCATGTCCCCGTCATAATAATACCTTTAAAAAGAAAAACACATTAGGACCATAGAAAAAATACAGAATTTGGACTTCTTAAAATATTTAACAGATTCTTGCATAGGCAGAAGCCTAGTATTGTATCTATACCAACATCAGTTAACAGTTAACACTGAAGTTATATAGAAATATTTAATGCTACCATCCAAGGAAACTTCAAAACATTACTCACTAAAATTTCAATATTCAGTATTCTAAAACTCTATATATTAAATTTTCAAAATGTATTTCAACAACTATGATAAAATACTGATTTAAAATGAACATTATTAAAACAAAGAACTTGAAAGCAAGGGCTTGGAATCAGAATGTCAAGATTCAAAATCCAGTGTCTCGACTTTGTGATTTTGTCACCAAAGGGAAGTCACATTTTCTCTAAGCTTTTATTCGTCATCTATACAATGAGGTTAAAAACAGTACTTACCTTCAGAGAATTGTTGGGAATTAAAAGGGTTATCTTTGCAAAGTGCTCACTTAAGCACACAATGACTGGCACATAGCCCTCTATAAAATATAAGCTACATTAATAGTTAAGAACCTATATAAAAGGAGACAATTTTTAATACACATATTCTACAGACTGTGGGAATCTTCTATATGTTGTAGCCACGACTTCACCGTCACTGTTTTAATGTGTAAAGGCTCTCCTTTCAGTGAAATTCAAATCCAAATTCAAATCCAAAAGGGAGCCTCAAAAGTGTAAGTAAAGGGTTAGAAGAAGGACAGAATACAGAACACCAGGAAAGAGGACATCATAAAGAAACAAGGTTTCTATACCTACACAGACAAATCTAGAAGTCTAGTTTACTGTTGCTATGTATGGAGTAGAAATAGAGCTGGATTTGTATTTACTTTGGAAAATAGACTTTATTTAGTGTTATGTGCTGCCAAGTCCAACAAAAGGAAAAAGGTAAGTCGAGACTTTTATAGATAGGAGGATTAAGCCTTTTATTATTTTTTCCCTATCCCGTGAAGTCTTCATTTTAAAACTGCACTGCCCGTCAGTACCAATTTGACAATGAGCAATTATGAAAGGAATGACTATTTGCTAAAGTACCAAAGTGGTATAAACTACCACATTTAGCAAGATTTTATTATAAAAGTCATTCAACTTAATCAAGAGTCCATTAATGAAAAGGCTGATCCATATGCAGGATATTAAGTCACTTTTCCTAAATTTCAGAATAGCAAAAGTCTAACAGTCAGTTATGTTCACTTTCTCAGTGAGAGATACAAAACACTGGGCAGAGTTCTTGTGTTTTCTTTTGTGCCAATTACATTTATATAGAATTTAGATCTTACCCACAAACCACCAATTTCCTGTCATCCAGTTTAAAATGAGATTAGTATAATAAAAAAAAATGAGATTAGTATTTCAATTTCTTATGAAAATTTTTACATAGTATGTAAGGCTATAATAGACCCTTGAGAAAAAAGTAAAATGAAGAAAGTGGTTTTATATTTCAAGGAGGAAAATGGAGTTGGTATAATCTTACGTCTCTTAGTAAGAGATGATAAAGAATACAAACATTAATTTTTAAATTTACTTAGTATGTCCTTCAATCTAGTAGATGCATCATACAACCACATATAAGAACATTCATATTTGTACCCTCTTTAAAATGAAGAAAGTAGTAAGGTAGTTCACAATATCTGTACTTTCATGCACATGATCCTCTCTCTCCGCTGTTTCGAAGCTTGTATATTTTTAAGCCTTTTAAATTGTGAAATAGATTTCCCCAGAATCCCTCCAAGGCCCCTCCCAATCACTACCCTGCCTCACTCTAAAAGGTAAACACAATCCTGTTCCATGATGGTGGTTCACTGCTTGTCACCCAAATATGTAGCCTTAAATGCTGTAATTTACTTTTTCTGTTCTTGAACTTTACACTATTAAATGCATTCATAAAATATATACTCGTTTTGGTGGGTCTGATTCCTTCACCGAACATTACGTTTGTGAGATTCATCTGTATCAGTGCCTGTAGCCGCAGTTCATTTCCATGGATACAGTCTACTTTTGTTTACCACTATTCATTTAGGCACTCTCTTGTTCATAGGTATTTGGTTTCTGGTCTTTGGATATTATAAATAATGCTGCTATGAGCACATGTGTGGACATATGCATGTGCTTCTGTCTGGTAAATATTTAGGAGAGAAACTCCTGAGTTAAGAGGTTATATCCCTACCCCAAAGTGTAGAGGCATTCCCCGCTCCTCCACATCCTCATCAACACCTGGTACTGAGAATCATTTAAATTTTAGCCACCCTGAAAACTGTGTTGTGTCATTTTATCGTGGTTTCCAAATGTGTTTTCCGGATTACAAAAGAGGCTGTGCAGAGTGGCAGTCACTGGCCATGCGTATAATCTCCAGCTGGTACTTACTCAAGTCTCTTGCCTATTTTTTTCTATTTCTCCTACTGATTTGTACTTCAAACATGACTTTTGTGTAAGGTCTATGGCGGCTTGCCTTTCACTCTCCTAATGATGGCTTCCGTTGACCAAAAGTTCTAATTTAAATGTAGTCCAATTTCTTGATCTTCTCCATCAGGTTTAGTGCTGTAGATTGATGTCTTTCCTCACCTACTGACATCATGGAGATATTCCTGGATGCTTTCCTATTTTACTTTCTACATTTATAGCTATAAGCCACATGGAACCAATTTCTAGTATAGTATGAGGAAGAGGTGGAATTTAACTTTATTTCCTATGGATAGTCAATGTCTCAGTTCTGCTGACTGAAAAACGGGTCTTTCCTCATGTCTTTTCCCCATGCCATCTTTAAGTCAAATACTCTATATTCTTGGTTCTACTTGGGCTCTTTATTGTAATCTGTGATCTATTTGTTCTAAGCAAACAACACACATGCTATTGTTGTAGGTTTACAGAAAGTTTCAATGTCCTGGAGAGCAAGTCTTTCTGCTCTGTTCATCTTCTTCCGGTATCCCTGTTATTACGGCACTTTATATTCCCACATTTATAAATTTCACAATCCACATGTTAAGTTCTACAAAAAACAAAAAACAAAACAAAACAAACAAACAAAAAACCTTTCTGCATTGAAACTTCTATCAATCTGGGGAGAACAGACATCTTAATGATTAACTCTAATAATTTACCTGTAATTTTGAAGGGACTTGTGTATATCCAATCATATCAACTGCCAAAAATGACAGTTTTAATTCTCATTATACGGAAAGGATCTTTAAATAGTTGGCAAAGTATGTGAGACTAAATAAATGATAAATACATTGAAAATAAAGCATTTTAGGGGCACCTGGAAGCTCAGTTGGTTAAACATCTCCTTTCAACTCAAATTATAATATCAGAGTCCTGGTATTGAGTCCCACACATCAGGCTCCCTACTCAGCGGGGAGCCTGCTTCTCCCTTTCCCTTTGCCCACCACCCCCATCCTAAGTCGTGCTCTCTCAAATAAATAAATAACATTAAAAAAAAAAAAAGAAAGAAAAGCAAGCATTTTAGTTACTTATGAATGCTAAGGAAACCAGTTATTTTGGAAAAAATAATCATGCTAAAATATGTAACAATACTTACATGATAATGATCCTAACAATGAAAACTGATATTACCACAATCTCCATATAATTATGTAATTACATTATGAAGGGACAAAGAGAATGTGTGTAGGGATGAGAGGTAAATCACAATCTCACAGTGTGAAATTCACAATGCCCAAGCAGCAGTAAAAGCATATTACTTAGAAACAGAGATAAATTACAGAGCTATTTTACACTATGTTCAATCTTCCAAGAAAGGACATTAGCTCCGTGATATTTCCATATATCTTGCTTTTTAACTTAAACGCATATACTGAATTTCCATCTCCGTAGTAAGAATAATTTGAGTACTTATGTCAAAAAAAATTCATACTACTTATGAGATGTTACAAATAATTTTATTCTATTCCAATTCAAACTGTGTAAAGGTTGGATATTCAGATTTAGGCAGGCTGAAGGGGGAGAAAGAACAGAGAAATGGGTTGACATTTTGCACCTAGTTATAAAAAACAAAATATATGCATCTTTGCTAAAAGTTACACTCAATTCACCTATACAAATAAATGATAGCATCTTTATCTGTTATGCAAATAAAAAATTCAGAGATTAAACATGTAAGTTTTTTAAGATTTTATTTATTTGAGAGAGAAAGAGGGAGAGGGAGAGGGAGAGGCAGACTCGTCACTGAGCAGGGAGCCCAATGTGGGGCTTGATCCCAGGACCCTAGGATCATGACCTGAACTGTAGGAAGACGCTTAACTGAGCTATCCAGGTGTCCCTAAACATAAGACTTTTTAACAGAATAATATATGCTTTTTAATGAGATAAAAACAAATAATCTTGGAATCATCCTAAAAAGAAAACAAAACAATGTGCCTCAAAGTTAATACTAAAGATCTTTGTAAAAGTCATTTTTGGGGCGCCTGGGTGGCATAGTCAGTTAAGCGTCTGACTCTTGGTTTCGGCTCAGGTTGTGATCTCAGGATCCGGGGATGGAGTCCCACCCTGAGCTCTGTGCTGAGTGCAGAGTCGCTAAAGTTTCACTCTTTCTCTCCCTCAGCCCTTCCCCCTACCCACATGCTCAAGCATGCACAAGCTCTCTAAAATGAATAAATCTTTAAAAAGTCACTTTTAACACAAGTGTGAAATTTTTAGCTTTTTAAAAAATTAAACATCTTATAAACAAATCTTTTAATGTTATATAACAATATTAAACCTATAAAAAGTCATTTTTTAGAAAGGCTTACTAATAAAAAGTAATAATCATAATAATGATAAATGCTTACCTTAAAGCACGACTGAGTTTCTCATAGTTCATTGTAGGCTTATTTTTACGTTGTCCCCATTTTTGCGCAACTAGTTCAGGCTGATTTAGCTTAAACTCGCCTTCATCACCAACCCAAGAAATGCAGTCTCGAGCATCCTTGTCAGTAAGAAGTTCTAGCAAAAACTGCCACAGTTGGATTTGGCCATTGTTTCCTAAATTGACAGAAAGGACAAGTGTTGACCACAGTGTTATGGGTTAATAGCAGGCAAAAGGCAATAAACAGGTTCTCTGGTTCATCCCTCAACCATGCTATAAACAAAAATTCTTATAAATGCCATTTACATACTGCCAGAGAAATAATCCACATTCATACTTTCATACAGTGAAACAGGACAAAATACACGATTTGACAAATTTTATAAATACCGTAAGATAATGCAAAAAATACCCGTTCTGTTCCCAGGTGAACTTCTATCTTCTCCTGAAATCCTTGGAGCTCTTTGTACTTTCGCTGCCTTTGCACTGCTGTTTATGACTTTAATGGTGGTTGGGGTAGCAGACTGCACTGATGCTGGGATAATCTGCACAGCTGCACAGAAAAACAAGGGGAACATTTTTTCCTTTCTAATACAAGCCACGAGAAACATTACTGACAGAAAATGCTGTTAGTTTCATTAATGCCCCTCCAATTAGCTCAACAAAAGGCCTTTCAAAAAAACCTTACTCCACAGCAGTTTTGAACAAAATTACCAAAGAAGTTCTGAGGATAAAGTACGATGTTTTCATCATGGGTTATGAATCTGAACTGCAGGAATAAGAGTTGGTCTTATTTTGGATGAACTTAGTGGTGTATATACGTTAGACAAAGAATGGTAAAAACATTGATTTAAGAGTAATTCTTTATTAAAAGTAGTTTATCAAATGCTGGGAGAAAATGTGGACACATAAGAACTCACAAGCAGTACCAGTGAGAGTACCAGAGCCTCTCCCCACTTTATGGAAAGCTGTGCTGGTGGTCCCCAGTCAGGTTGCAAGGGTGGAACCCCTGCGATAAACCAGAGGATCTCACACATGTTTTTACAAATACTCATTCCATGATATTCAGAGTTTGAAAAATAATAGCAGTGAAAATGAGTGAAATCAGACTGCAAGTACCAACACAAGTCTCTGTTACACAAAAAAAGCAAGTTATAAAAATATGTGTAGTTTATTTAATCATTTTACCCAAAAAGTTTAAACAAGGGTAAAATAACGCTATAAAGCGTGGTTGCCTAGGTGGTAAAAATATAAAATATACATAGAATAATAAACATTAAATTCAAAATAATCATTTCAAATGGGATCTACAACAGGTAAACTTGATAGTTTTAATTCTTATGGTGTACACAGGTGTTAGTTATACTTTAATTCTTGTTATATTTAAAATATTTCATAAAAAGTTTAAAAATTAAATTTCCTTTTTATTACCTTGCAGTGCTGAATTAAAACAAAATTTCTTACTGACAAATGGGCATATATAATGGGCATGAGTACTCACGTTGATCAATTGTAACTATCTCATTCATCTGTTGTTCTTGGCTTGCCAACACATCTGAAGAACACACACAAAAATTTTTGTTTACACTTAAACCCAGAAATGCAAACTCAAGTTAGTAAAACTCAATCTAAGTAACCAACCAAATAAACAAAAAAGCAAAGCATTGAAGAAAACTTACTGGCACAATAATCTCAAAAATACTTAATAGTCACTTTGCAAGGAAAAAGATACTTTAAGAGAAGTAGCCAATGGAGAGCCAACTCTTTTAATGTTAAGTTATTCAGAGAATCATGGTCTTCTGAACATAAATATCTATATTTATCTGTATGAAACCATTTAAAAACATGGAAATCTTCAAGATCAAATCAAAGTTGAGAATGTACATCACACTGAAATTACTTATACATTCATAGATATACATTCTCAGTCAAGATGACTGAGAGATCTTCAGAATGTACTATTCTAACAAACTGAAAAGTTTTGAATAAAATCACTTAAACTTTTTAAAATTAATTAATTATTCATGAGAGAAACAGGAGAGAGCAAGAGAGGGCAGAGACACACGCAGAGGGAGAAGCAGGCTCCGTGCAGGGAGCCTGACATGGGACTCGATCCCAGGTCTCCAGGATCACGCCCTGGGCTGAAGGTGGTGCTAAACTGCTGAGCCATCCGGGCTGCCCTCACTTTAACTTTAAAAAAAAAAAAAAAGATTTTATTTGAGAGAGAGAGAGAAGGAAGGGAGAGGGAGAGAGAAAATTTCAAGTAGACTCCGTGCTGAGCAGGAAGCCTCATGATCTCACATCCCTGAGGATCATGACCTGAGACGAAATTAGGAGTCGGATGCTTAACCGACTGAGCCACGGAGGCACCTGCAAACTGCTTTAACTTTATAATGCTCCTTAAAGATAGCTAAATTTTCAATAAAATTGTAGTGGTCCTAAATGTCACAAGGGAACAAAATAATTTAACAATGGCTACAAATCTAGCTCTCAACATCAGAGTTACACTGTAAAAGGTCCTAATATAACCCTTTAGAGGTTATATTCATTCCATGCCTTCCTCATCTGTTACTATTCCCTACTCAAATACTATTCTTTGTTTCTTAAACGAGAGTTCCTATTTCCCAGTCTCTAATACTTCAGTCCATTTATTTAGGGCCCATAATAGATTGGATGCTTTTCTCTTGAAGCTGTACCCACCAGCAACCACCTGTGCAGTTTGAGTCCTAGTGCCTGGGTCCTGAACACAGTCCTACTTAGGGTGCCATGCCAGGAACCAGTTCCAGACACACAGAGCTGGAAAGGGCTGAGCAACTGAGAAGAGGTCTAAACCCTGTCAGATGGGGGCTTTCCTTAGGGGTTTATATAATCATATGGGACTAGCCTCAGACAGATGCTGGTTCTGATCTTAGCACTCATTCCTGGGCTCTGGGACTTTGGTAAATTACTCAAGAAACTTAAACATTAATTTCCTCAAGTTTAAATGAATTATCCCCATCTACCACCTAAATTAGCTGTTACAAAGGATTAAAGGAAAATGTTTTCAAAAAGCACACCTGAAACCTTTCAGTAAGCTGAAGATTCTACTGTTTCACCCAGATTCCTCATTCTGAGCATTCTCTCCACTTCAAGAAAATGAACAGATACACAAGATTCCTTCACTCCCTATACTAGGAAAAGGTTCTGGATGAGCTTTAAAGATTGATAAGTGCTAGGAGAACCAGAAAGAGACAAGAACAATAAAGTGCTGCCCTGGAGGAGAGCACAAAACCCCCCAATTTAAGAAAAATTATACTGGAACCTAAGCAAACTATCTTTGTCCTAATCCTGACAAGTCCCTACAAGGAAACACTTCAGCAAAAGTGACTCACATGTTAAAAACCTGAAAAAATGCAAGAGTTTTCCTTATTTATTGGAAAAGCTCTGTAGAAAATAAAAACCTGTGAAATCAAAGGACAAAACTTCAACTAGAACATTTATTTACCTAATAAGAACAACTGGAAATAAATCTTGTAAATGTAATGAATGCAGTAAGACTTTCAGTGTCAACAGACACTTTTCACCTCTAATATTTAAGAGATTCCATGAAAGAAACTATAAATATAATCAATGAAGGAAAGCTTCTCCCTCGAGCTCATTTCTTATTTGGCAGCAGAGAATGCACCTCAGATGAAAACCCTAAGCCTTCAAATACCTGTGGAAAATCCCTCCAACCAGAGATGCTCCTTTACTGGGCGCATAAGAGAACAAACCCTACCAGTTACTTTTTTACCCATAACCATTACAAAAACAAAGTCAGCGTCTGTCCTGTTCACAGATTCTGAAAAGTATGTGGGTCTGGCTAGCATTTCTGGCCCGCAGAATGGTGTTAGGGAACAGGATATTGCTGCGATATTTTAACAGATAGTCACTGAAATACAAGACAGATTAAAATTCACACAAAATAATTTACATTTATTTGAGTTTTTTTTTTTTTTTTTGGTCAGCCAAGAAGTTTCTAATTTCTTTATATAGTCAATCATAATAATAATGTCTGTGGAGCCAACATGGAAACACTTATAACCAGCAGACTTCAATTCAAGACAGAGGACTGCATACTTCTTTCTCTCTTAAGATCCCATTCAATTAAAAGGAATTTTAGAAGATTTCATTGAGGGAAGAAATCAGTGAACAACTTTAAATTTCCAGAAGATGAAGAGTAAATAAAAGAACTGATGAAACAGAAGTCAATAAACTGGAATTTACAAAGAGAGCTAAGTGTGGACACAGAATCTTAAGAAATTGGATTCTCATGTTTGTCAGTCTGGTTTTGAATCCTGACTGCCACTTCCTAGCCATGTACCTTTCTGGGGCTGGCTCTCTAAGCCTCAGTATCCTATCTAAAAAAATAAGGAAAGTAATGATTTGGGGCATTAGCAGAGAGATTGAGATAATATATATAAAGCTCCCACACAGCCTTTAACAATTAATAGGTGCTATTATTGCTATTATCATTGATCACAATAAACAATGAAGACAATGTTATAAAGAAATAAAGTTAAATTCAAGCTAGAGTGCCAAATAGATAATAATTCAAATTTTATACATTTTCGGAGAAGTTCCAGATGACTCCACAGAATTTCTCCCCGAGGGACTCGCTGAAAAAAGTCTTCTTGGTTGAGACTGCATAATTCTCTTCCGGAAATGTTGAGCGTGGTCAAGTCTATATCAGTCATGCTGAATTCCTTCATTACCCAAACCACCCAATGCAGGACTTGGTCCGTGGACCACTGTATAGGATCTAGAGAGAAAAACAGTACCATTAGCCTAGTCCTATCTTAGATATTATATAAATTCACAGTTAATTTGTCAACATACATACACACATATACGGACAAAAATCCAGACAGGTTTTTTTCCCAAGTGAAATAAACTCAAATGAAATAAAAAGATTTTTAATACTCTATTTTCTCCTCAGCTCCTTTTCAATTTTTCAATCTAAATTTTTAATGAATTCACCTGGTTTTACATCCGTTAGTCTGGATTTTTATCAAGAAAAACAATGTAAAATTACTCTCCAAGGGTCAACTCTAAGAATAAAATGTGTGATTATTCTGGAGACTGTTATTCTCTGTGATTATTATTCTCTGTGATTATTCTGGAGTATGTTATCTAAGTTTGAAACATTACTTTTTAGCAGTGTATAATTTGGTGCACTGAAAAAAATAAACTGTAAGGGGTTTCTGAGGAACTAAACTTATTTCTCAAAATGTGCACAACATAATCCTTTCCTTTTGCTTCTAGTAAAAAGCTGGTGCTCCTGTATTTACCCTTTAGCAGCACTTATAATACAACATGCAAATTGCATGTTTACTCAGCTATCTTTCCCTGCAACACATTAAGGTCTTAAATACAAGGACTGTATCTTATAAACCACTGTTATCTTTAGAATTTACCACAATGCCTCATGCATAGCATAATTTGTTAAATCTATGAAAAATAAATCCAAAAAGTCATTTTCTTCATCATTTTTTACTATCTAATTGAATTCACAAATAAAAAAGATGGCCAACATGTATACATATTTCATTGTATCCCTGGGACCTAACAGATTATTCTATCCAAATAAATTTAATAAATACTGGCTGACTTAATTTTGGTATAGGTATTTTTGCATGAAAAATATGATCTATCCAAAAAGTATTGGTTACACACCCCTAAGATGCATGCTATTTAACTGGAATATGTGGGACAAAAAAAAAAAAAAACAAAACATTTAGGTACTTATCAAGAACCAATTGATAATAAAAAAGGAATCAAACATAATATAGGATTGATAGCCACATAACTGATTTTTAATTTGATCTTTTCACAAAAATGTGAAAGGGAAGATTCTGAGAAGATGGCAGCAAAGTTTTTTAATGCCTCTGAATGCACACATTAAAAAAAACCCACTAAGAGCAAGAGAGCAAAACCAAAAATCCATGTACATTTACAATAAAATCAGGTGACAAGATATCCCCATGGAAGCCAAAATACATCCAGGTAAAGACAAAGCAGTAACAGTTACAGACTTTCAGGGCAGCAGTATCTATTCAGAAGAAGGCAAAGGGGGAATGAAGCAAGAGCCATCTGACCCATTCTTCATTCTGAGCACAGGAGAACCCAAACACAGCCAAGAAGTTTTCATTGAAAGCAGAATAGTCCAAGCTAATAGGAGGAGCTCAAATAGTTTTCCCCAATCTAACAACAGCTGAGTACAAAGGTCATAGTAAGGCTTAAAAGGGGTTGGAGCAGTGCAGCACCTCTGGGTTTTTCAACCGGAGTCACAGATCATCACATCCAGGAGAGGGGACCACAAAGAGGAGAAACTGGAGGGAATAGAATCTAAACTGAGTAGCACAGGAACACCAAGTAAAAAGACAGAGAAGGTCCAGATAAAAGGGGGGTAAGGGAACAGACAGGAACCGAGAAAGCAAGTGGTGCTATTTTTTTTCTTAAGTTTTGTTTATTTAAGTAATCTCTATACCCAATGTGGGGCTTGATCTCATGACCCCGAGGTCAAGGGTCAAGTGCTCTTCTGACTGAGCCAGCCAGGCACCTCTACTGGCTCTATTTTTTAATACTACTTGAAAATAACAGATGAGAGAGTTTTGGGAGAATAGATCCCAGTAACAAAAGTCTACAAACTGAAGACAGACTCTCTGTACTTCCCTTTCCACTTGCAGAATGCAGCATTCACATACATGTCAACCCTAAATCCTTACCCCAACCTTCTACTCCTGTCAGATGTTTGGCCAATTCTTCAGAAAGTTAATCAGGAAAAAGATCTATACATACTGACACTTGAAAAATCTTTTAATGAAATGACTATTACCCCATTTTAACAGTGTCCAGTCAAGAAAACCCCTTTCAGAGCTTCAAACTAGTTAGCTTTCAAGTTATTCACTCTTAAATATGAAAAGATCAACAGGGATAGTCAGATATTTGAGAGACTAAAAACAAACCATTAAACAAAGAAAAATAGAACCCAGAAGCAGAAATAATGCAATAACAAAACATAAATTTTTTTTTTAATTTTATTTTATTTATTCATGAGAGACAGAGGCAGAGACACAGGCAGAGGGAGAAGCAGGCTCCATGCCGGGAGCCCGACCGACGTAGGACTCGATCCTGGGACTCCAGGATCATGACCTGAGCTGAAGGCAGCACTAAACCGCTGAGCCACCCAGGCTGCCTGATAAAAAATTATTATAGTGAGGTTTTAAAAAAATCAATATATTAAGAGATGTAAGAGAAAATATAATATCCATGAAATCAGAATGTTAATATTCTATACCCAAGCTATCAAAAGGAACAAATGAAAATAAAGAGCCCTTGTAAAGTAAAAGTAACTATAGGTTGTTGTATAAAGACAAGAAACTTGGCAGAAAGTTGTAGAGATAGATACAGAAATGACAAATGGAAGAAAAAAGATAAAGAGGGTCAGCCCAGGAGATTCAACAGAAGTCTCAGAAAAAATAAAGGAAAAACACAGAAGGTAATTATCAAAATAAGAATACAGGAAAATTTCCCAGAACTGAAGGCTACAATTCTCTAGTTCAGCAGCTGTCCAACAGAAATACAATGCGGTAATTTTAAAATTTTCTCACAGTTACGCTGAAATAGGTGAAGTTTATTTAAATAATAATTTCATTTAATGTATCCAAATGTTATTTCAACATGCTCAACATAAAAAACTTAAAAGATTTTACATTCTTCTCTCTTTGTACCAGGTATTTTACACTTACAGCACATCTCAGTTCAGACCAGGCAGGTTTTAAGTGCTCACATGGGACTAGTAGCTACTGCACTGGAAAGCGCAGGGCTATGAAATGCTACACCATAACCCATAAATCTACAGCATATGAAAAAGTTGCACAATGCCACTAAACAAAGATAAAGACCAAAGATAAAAAGGAAATCCGAACATCTTCCAGAAAGAAAAAAAAAGGATATAAAAAGGAACTAGAATCAGAATGCTCCCTGAACATCTCACACTATAATAAAACAGAACAAGGCCATACAAATCTTGAGGAAAAATAATATTTCAATTTAATATTCTATACCCAAGCTATCAGAGAGAAGAGAATAAAGACAATTTCAGGTATGTAGTCTCCCCTACCAAAAAAAAAAAATCCCAAAAAAACACCTCCAAAACAAAAAACTACTTTTATTTCCTAGGTACCCTTTCTAAGGAAAACTGTAAGAAATAAAGAGAGAATAATGAGTAAATTGGGAAAACAGAACCAAGAAAAAGGGAAACGTAAGATCTGGAAGATAGATCCAGCATTGCAGGAAAGTCAAGGATGTCTTAGGATGACAGCTCTGTGGTAAGTACACTGAAGAGCCAATCCAGAGATAATTGAGAATCTGGGAAAAACTACTCCTAGGCACAAAACAGACTGATGGAAATGGGAGACAATCTTGGTATGTGTAGAAATGTACACAACTGAAAAACTAAGCCAACTGTTAACTTCAGGAAAACTAAAAGTTGTCAAAATGCAGTCACGGTTATATGAGAAATTCTCACAGTATAGAAAAATAACTAATGACTTAATAAGTTACCTAAGAATATTCACAAAATGGGGAAAGGTAAGGTTAAGTTTTATTTGCTTGCAGGAGAAAGCAATGTAAGAGAACTAAGCTACTGCAACGCAATGTAAGAGAACTTCATCTACTTCAACGATTAAAGAAGTGACTTCCTATTAAGAAGTTAATAATGATTTAAAAAAGCAGTAAAGTAGAAAGTAGTTGCAACTGAAGAGCAGGACTGAAGAAAGGAAAACTTTTCATAAGACTTTCTTTCTTTAGGGATCCCTGGGTGGTGCAGCGATTTGGCGCCTGCCTTTGGCCCAGGGCGCGATCCTGGAGACCCGGGATCGAATCCCACGTCGGGCTCCCGGTGCATGGAGCCTGCTTCTCCCTCTGCCTATGTCTCTGCCTCTCTCTCTCTCTCTCTCTCTCTCTCTCTCTGTGACTATCATAAATAAATAAAAATAAAATAAAATAAAAAAAAAAAAAAAAAAAAAAGACTTTCTTTCTTTAAACCAGATTCGACAGACACTTGGTGAGAACATACCCACAGACTGGGGGAGAGCTAGTCAGATACAAATCAACTCTACCTGTAATACTTAATTTTTATGTCAATACATAATACCTTAAAATGTTAATACTTAACAATTCTGGAAGCCAGAATCATAAGTATATATCTTTATTTTTAATTATTCAAACAACTAGAAAATAAAAATAAATAAGCACAGTCATCTTTTCAATATTTCTGTTTAATAATGGACAAGAATGACTTTAATCTTACCTAAGTCAGTTTTAACATATTCCCACTTGACCAGACTTCTAACTACTACAAATTCATTAATTTGAGTTTCATCTACAGTTTTAAAATGTGAAATAGTTAAAAAAAAAAAGCAACAACAACAACACATAAAAAAAATCAGGAAAAATCTCAGTGACAGGACTGTACATATATGAAGGGGTGACTTTAGGCTCCTGTCAAGATATTAAGTTGATATGTGTAAAATGAATTCAGGGAATTATGAATCAATATTTCAAGGAGATTTAAAGTAGCTATGACCAGTTAGGTCTATTTCAATTTTGCAGAGAATTAAGCAATTTCAAAATGACTACCCTTAGGTGCAGACACAGAAATGAGAAACAACAGGTTCCTAAGAAAATAGCAATCAAATTTCTAAAACTTTCCAGTTGCTAACAATTTCATGACAAAAACAAAAACAAAACCCAGTGATTTTTAAAAAGTCTTCCTATACCTAAATAAACCTCCCGTGCTTTAAAAGAGCTTTATTCTAAGTAAATGATACCCCTGGTAGGAACTATGAGTCAGAGTTTATAATCTTACTCTCTATAATTCATTTTTATATACTACTCTCCATAAAAGATTCTGCTACTAAAGGGTTCTTGTTCAAAGTAGTAAACTATAAAATAGTATTTCAAATGTTTGTATGTTTCCTTCTTTCCTTCTCACTGTATTTCTCCTCTCTGAGGTGACTCCAAACTCACTAAGAATAAGCACATCCATGCTAGCTTCTACAAGTCACAAATAAATAACAATATTGTCAACCACATATTTGAGGAATGACGCTACCTGATGCTTTGAACTGAGCTTACCTTTTTTTTTTTAAACTTCTTTTTTTTTTTAATTTATGATAGTCAGAGAGAGAGAGAGAGAGAGAGAGAGAGAGAGAGAGAGGCAGAGACATAGGCAGAGGGAGAAGCAGGCTCCATGCACCAGGAGCCCGACGTGGGATTCGATCCCGGGTCTCCAGGATCGCGCCCTGGGCCAAAGGCAGGCGCCAAACCGCTGCGCCACCCAGGGATCCCTGAGCTTACCTTCTTATGCTCCAATTAAAACCCCCTCCTGGCTTCCTTCATCTATCTTTCTCCTGCTAGTGCCAAACCATTTTATCTACAAATACTCAGGTTACCAACAACTCATGAACCTTCAATAATTATTTATTCCCCCAACACTCTTCCCATTTGCACCCCCTCAAAGGTTAATATTCAGTTTTTTCAACTTCAATAATATCTATTTCCTATAATTCGGTGTCTCTTAACTCTAGTTACTTTTTTGGAAATCTACCAATGAATCTCTGATACCCAAATTTAACAGATACTACTCAATTGGCATTCTTCTCTTTATCAGCAATATGGCCACTCTTGACCATCTAAAACCTTTTCAGTTTCAGAGACATGATATAAATTCTTCTCTTCCTTCTATCTTTTCAGCTATTCCATGTTTCCATTCCTTTTCCTCAACCTGAAATGCTGACAAGATTCAGGCTTTAAAGTGTTCCATTCCATTTCATCTCTCTCCATCAGAGACTGTATATGCTTTTCCAGCTTCAAAACAAACTCAACACAGCTAAGTCCCAGAAAATATCTTTATCTCGCTCCAGATCTTGTGTACCTGAAAATACTTTCTGGCTACCTTCAGTTAAAATATGTACTATTACTTCTAAAGGAAGTACTACCAACACTTATCCTTGAAAAAAATCTTTCCAATATCAGACTTCCCCACCTTCCCCACTTAAGCACTGGAGGGCACAGCCTAGCTTTCTTATGTACTACTGAAAGCCCAGCATTTAATCTGATGCTTGGCGTATGTGGTTCACTAAATACGTAATGAAGATATAACCAATTCTCGTCAATATGATCATTCCCCTAGTCACCCAAACTTGAGAAGTTCCATCAGTCCTTGAATCTCTCCTCTCTACCCTCACGCAACCTATCAGCCAGTTGCTCAGCCCCATCACTGGTTTCATTCATCTCTTCGCACATAAATTATTGAGTCTAGGCGAACCTGGACCTTTACCACCTAGACACATCTCATCTATAACATGCTCCTATTTTCCCTTCATTCAGTCTCTATCTGTTCCAATGTATGTCATATACTACTGCTACATTCATCTCCCATGGTCACATCCATCTATCAAAGCCAGTTCTATAATGCTAGAGAGTAACTCCACCAAATCTTCTTGCCACTCCTGTATACTCACTCCTACGTCTAACTTTTGCATGCACATGTCCTATCTGAACTGTCCTCGTCTGCTCAACTGTTTATCTATAATAAACCTTTCCCCAATGTTCACCAGGCCACTGCAATCCCTTTAAGATTATTCTTTCCTCGGGATGCCTGGGTGGCTCGGCGGTTGAGGGTCTGCCTTTGGCCCAGGGTATGATCCTGGGATTGAGTCCCACATCGGACTACTTGCAGAGAGTCTGCTTCTCCCTTGGCCTGTGTCTCTGCCTCTCTCTCTGTCTCTTACGAGTAAATAAATAAAAAAAATCTTAAAAAAAAATTATTTTCTTTTTAAGATTTATTTATTTATTTTAGGGAGGAGGGGCAGAGGGAGAGGGAGAGAAGCAAACTCTGTGCTGAGGCAGGCAGACTGACTTGGGGCTCGATCCCAGAACCCTGAGACATTGACCTGAGCCAGTCAAAAGTCATATGCTCAACTAACTGAGCCACCCAGGTGTCCCTGATCCCTTTGAGATCCTAATAGCACATTCTCTTTATATAAGTTACTGACAGCTTAAAACCATGCTACTTTTTATGGTATATATTTCTTTTCATTTATTTTCTCTCTCTCCAATTACATTGAACAGTCTAAAGACAGTATTTTTTTTTTTTGTCTTCTTAGCACCTGGGATAGCATTTGTTCAAAGGGGATAAAAGGAGAGATACAGAAAATCAATATTCTTTCCAAAAAGAAAAATCTACATTGAAAAGAGATTATAACTTATTGACTCTAGTATCTTCTATGTCAAGTTTAATTCTTATTGTTCTACTTAACATGTAATTAAGTATTTTATTACCATAAGGTATCCCAAGACGTTCCTGCTCTTTCCTATAACCTTCCAGAGCGGCAGCCCATCTTGTCACTTGTTCTGAGGTTTCATCTGAAATAGTTGTAATGTGCTTTGTGCCATCGAGAGTTATTACTTGAGCTTCCTCAACAAGATGTGCTTCAGCTTCAGCATGGTGGGCATCCGGATCGATGACAACTTCAACTGTTTCCGCAGGCTTTACAATTTCAAGGATGTTTAGCTTAGGCTCAATTCCTTAAGAGTGGGATAAAAAAAAAAAAAGTAAATATACATGAAAACAAAAAAGCCACTAAAAAATAAAATTCAGTTTAGTTTATATGTTCTCAAAAGGTAGAGCTAATGCTCTCTTTTAGACATAAATACAATTATTCACTAGAATTTCAGTAGATAACAGTATGTGTTAATATTAATTTCCTGATTTTGATAATTGTAATGTAGTCATAAAAAAGAATTCCTTGTTTTTAGAAGACACATACACTGATGCATGTGTATGTGGACAGAAGGAAATCATGGGACAAAAGAAAATCATGTCTGCAACTTATTCTTAAAAATAATGTGGGGATTGGTGGATGGAAATAAAGCTACATGTAATAAAAGTTAACATTTGGAGAATCTAGGTAAAGGACATTCAGGAATTTTTTTACTACTCTTGCAACTTTTCTGTTCATCTGAAAGAATACAGAAAACACCACCGCCATACCCAACTACATATAAACATTTATTAGAAAAAAAGTACCAGTATGGATTAGAAAATAAAAACCAGACCAGCGAGAATATAAATGAATGGTTACCCACATGTAGAATTTTTAAAAAGTCCTTCTAAGCAAATTAAAATAATTTACTGGCTGTTTTTCTTTTCAAAGGTCAAAGTACATGTTTTAAAAATGAATAGGCACTAAGTTTGTTAGATTAAATTCACATTACTAACTTCTGATTTCCGTTTTCAATTGAATGAATCAACAACCCCAAATTCTTAAGACAGTCACAACAGAATAAATTAGCCCTGTATAAAATCATCTCGGATACTTCCATTAAAATGACAGCTCTAAGAAACTAGCATATTAGTTAATATGATACTGTTTGGTCACTGATTCTGTTATATAATCTGCATTAAATTTAATCAAAGTGTATTTGAAAGAAAAAAATAAAACTTAAATCCTCTCTGAAAGCCAACTCCATAATAAAATGTATTGCTACAATTTATTACATGGTATAAAGATAAATCACTTTTTTCAAATATACCTGTAACGTTTGAAAAAATTTTTTTCTAAGTTTTATTCTGAGTCCCCACTCAAATTTCATCAAGTCAGCTCTTCCTAAATACACTTGCACTAAGAGGTCACTAGGCTTTCAAAGATAAAGAATTTCTTTCTTATTGCCAATGATAGTCAGTATTGGGGAAACTGTAGATCAGGAGGGGATAACTACCATTCTTTTTTCTAAGACTATGATTTGTGAAATCCCATTATAAGCAATATGATATGTACAAACATTAAAATTGATCTAAAACTCTGGCCAGAATTCCTAACCAGGTACATTTTTAAAAACTAAAATTTAGCCTGTGAAAATTAGTTTCTTAATTTTCTAACTTTTGTACTTACACAAGATTAGTAAAATACTGTGATGGATAGGGCTGACTGAGTCACTCAATATTTTTTGCAAATTCCACTCTCCTGTGCTAAACTGTAGGGACTACATTTCCTTGTGGCGAGGTTTCCAGTCGTGATTCTGGCTCTAGAATCACTGGCATAAGCCTTCTATCTGGTAAGGAGTTAAGGGACAAGCAGGCACCTCACACCCATGTTTTGGCTAGTGTGGATGACTGTGAAGGCAGCATGGTTCTAAGCTCACAGCTATAGTGATGGCTTTCAGATCTGGTATTTTCCAGATCGTGGAAGGGCAGCAGCTTCTTTGGCAATCCAGTTCTGCAGTGTTGCTAAGGTGTTCTGAGAAAGTCAACCAGAACCCATTCTTCCAGTTCTCTTTACCTTACAATATATCTTTCCCTGAGAAAAATAGGTAGAATATGTCATACAAAAAAAAAAAAAGAATATGTTATACTATCTCTGCTTCACCCTGACAGATATAATAATTAAACCAAAAGCATGAATATTTGACTACAAAATCACATTAAGTAATTTGGACAACCATCCAAAATACCCAAAACTTGTAAAACTGAGTTCTCCCATATTTAAAAAAAATGTGACTTAAGACTTTTAAGTAGTTATAAAAGTAGCTTACCTTGGTAAGAAATTACCTGTACACTAAGTTGTACAGTTCCATCTGTCTTTACTCCTTGGTCAAATAAACTTCGTTCTGGATCCAGCTAAACATGAGAAAATAATTAAGATTACTTTGGTTCAGTCATCAGGTTTAATATAAACGGATGTACTAAACAGGACTTTAATTACTGAGGCATACTAACAAAATTATAAGAACACATCTAATTATCCAAGTTGCCATATCATGTAATTCTTTGCCAAAATTAAACATATTTTAACCGTTATGGTAGTAATTAAGGACAACATAAATTAACCAAATTTATTTGAGGTGATGGTCTTCTCCAGCTCTGGAGTCTAGTTTAGGATTTTAAATAATGCCAAAAGGCAACTGATTATCCTGTAAGTATATTTTAGGCAGAAGATAATTTAACTTATCTGTCATGAATAAGCAAGGATGTTTAATTAACAGGGAGATTTATATGAATCTATTAACATAATTTTTGCCATGTCCCCATTATAACCAATGCCATACATTTAAGACCCAGGTTAACTCTAAACTTCTTGTAATGAAGTTAATAAAGTTAAAGGATTTATGACCTTACTATCTGATCTAGCTTTAATATCTTCAATCATAATTCTATACCCTTTCAGTATTAGTGCTTTTATCCATCTTACCTCCTTACAGTGAATGCATTTCACACAATGGCAACCCGATGACAAAAAATAACTCAGACTTCCAGACACTGTCATCATTTTAAAAGTAGACCTGTACTGCAATTATCTTGAATAATGTATGTATGTATCTGTGTGTCTGCATTCCATGCAGCTGGAGATACAAAGCTCTTCCCACTCCCATTCCCAAGAATTCAGTCAATACTGTAGTCATGGTACAAATATGTTTTCTAGTATCAAAAAAGCCATAAAAAACCTAAAATCCTAAATGATTTTAAGTCTAACACAAACAGGGATAAGACAAACTGTGTAATCCTGCAGAAAGACATGGCAGTTTTACTCCTTAAAAGAAGTCTCTGACTAATGCTTGGTTAAGAACTCTCCTAATATCAAGATTTATTGGGGTGCCTGGATGGCTCAATCAGTTGGGTGTCTGCCTTCCGCTCAGGTAATGATCCCAGGGTCCTGGGATAAAGCCCCATGTTGGGCTCTCTGCTCAGTGGGGCGCCTGCTTATCCCTCTGTCCCTGTCCCCACTCGTACTCGTGCTTGTGCTCTCTCTCACGAACAATCTCTCTCTCAAATAAATAAAATCTTAAAAAAAAAAAAAAAAAAAAAACCTGGTTTCTCCTCTCCACAGTAGACACTGGTATGATTTACTAGAAGCTACAGCATGTGGAACTCTGAACATGAACTCTCAGGTAGTAATGAATATACCAGCTAGTGCACATACTCCTCAAATTAGCACAACCCTGCTACTTTCCATTGGCTTTCCAGTCAGCATTCATCTGAAAATACAGAAGCATCACCACAAGCAGCAAGCATTCTGACTCCAGGTGCATGTGGTTAGTCGACATGAAGAAGAGAAACTGCTAATCTCACATTCTTTATGAGGAGAGGAAGGGAGACAGGAAGGAATGCAAAATGCCTTAGGTCCTAGGCTAGCTTGGAATTCCATGATAGATGAATTATGTGAATTTCCATTTATGTAACTAAATGTTTATGGAGAACTTATGATGTGTTGGGTACTTTGCAAGTAATACTTTCATTTTGGGTAGAACAAGTATGCTAAGAAAAGCAACAGAAGTTAGAGCTGAAAGGCAAAAAGAAGAGATCAAGTCCAAATTTCCCTTCTTTACATATGAGACTATTAGGTGAAGCCCAGGGATTCTGAGTTAACTTTCTTAAAAGTTTGCCTCAAATGAGTGAAACTTTGAAGTCACACAGGCATAGGTTCAAATTCCCAAGTACCTCTTTATAGCTATGCATTGGGCAAATTATTTAACTCCTTTAAATCTGTTTCTACATTTGCAGAAAGTAATTAAGAATATGCTGATTTCAAAGACTAATGTGAATATGAAATGAAATAAATGTAGAAATGTTCTGCAAGTATTTATTCATTCAGGATAAACTGCCCAGACAGCTCCAGTTAACCAATTTGTCATGGCTGCCTTAGATACCAATCTACAGAAGTTATTTCTCTAATTCCCTGGTTTTGGAACATTTGAGTTATTTTCAATTTCAGCACAACCATACAATTAACAGCTCAGATGTACAACTTTGCTTACCGAGGTGACGATTTCTGTCACCTAATAGACACTAAATACCAGATTACCTTCCAAAATGATTAATTTATTCTCTCCCTGAGAGAAAAGCTTTAAATCCTAAAATTATAATATTAGACCCACATACTTCTCTAATTCTAGAACATCCTCGCCTGCACCACACCCAACATTACTAGACTTACTGAAAAGATAAATGCATGGTTGAGTGGCAACTGAAACACACAAATTTCATTAAAACATTTCAATTTATTCTACATCAAAATCCTATTTGAAAATAATAGATATATGATGATTTGAAATTTTTTTTTAAAAAAAAGGCAAAAAGTCCTACAACATATGGAATAGCCATATGACAAGACAGGCAAAGGGGGAAGTAAAGAGTAAGATAAACCAAACAATCCAAAAGAGGATACACTATGTATTTGTATAAATTAGCATAAAACTATAAAACTCTAACACTTATATGTTCGAGGAAGGTCTAGAGAAACTATCTGAGTGATCCTAAGTTACAACCCTTTATACATGAAAATATTACCTTTCTTCAGAGAATACCAAAAATAAAACAGGACTATGAATATGCTGTAAACATAATATATTATTAAAATACTACTACAGGTAAAATCCTACTGCAATAAACTCCCAAGGAATATAAACACTGGTGTTTAATTTCTTATCCAAAATTCATTACTAGAGCAAATAAAAATGGAAGGGAATGTAAAAATCATTTAGTCAACTTTTCTCCTTTTAAAGATAAGGAAACTAATACACAAGAAGCTAAAACCTAGTTAGAAACAGAGTATGAGGAGGACACACTTCATCCAGGTTCCAAGGTCAGTATGTTTCTCATTACTTTATGTTTAGGCACCGATTCACACTTATTTAAACTTATTTCATATTTGTTAAAGTAGAAAGCAAATGTTTGATTTAGTACTCAAGATTTTTTTTTTTTTAAAGCAGGCTACACACCCAATGTGGAGCTGGATGTGGGGCTTGAACTTGTGATGCTAAGCTCAAGATTCAGATGCTTAGCTCACTGAGTCACCCAGGTGCCGGTAATACTCAATCTTTTAAATATAATTTTAAACAGAGGAAATTTTACTGCAAGAACTTTTATTTTTAAATGCTTAAATATTTTAATACAGGTCTAATTTAGTTATAAAGACTATAGCTATAAAGGCAAAATGCTAACAAAAAACATTTCAGGGTGCCTGGCTGGCTCAGTGGGTAGAGCATGTGACTCTTGCCCAGGGGGTTGTAAGTTCGAGCCTTACATTGGGTATAGAGATTACCTAAAAAATAAAACCTTAAAAGAAAAAAAAAATCTAAGGCAGACTTAAATGCTGAAATATAAATCTCCAAAGAAAAAAATATTACCTGGATATCTTGCAGGCAAATTTCATGAGCATCCAAAGAACACTGTAGTCTTGGTTCTAGCAGTTTCTTTAAATTGCCTATTGGCTCATTGATGTCTATAGCCTGGCTTACACATTCAGCTGGGGTGTAGGTTTGTTCAACAATACTAAATATTAAAGGACATAATAGTTAATTATTTGTACCTTGGACATTAAAGTAACAATATGCTGAAACCAAAATTCAATACACATTTCTGGTCTTTGAAACTCATTTCTGCATAGACACCATTCATAGTGGTAGGCCTAACACCAACTGGTATTGCCAAACTGAACACTACATTGCAGAAAAATGCGAGCTTGAAATTTAAAGCACCCTTACAAATAGATCTCCTTAGATATATATATATGTATACATACATACACACACGTTTATATATGCCTATCAATATGTATACATACACACACACATTTATATATGCCTATCAATACTGCATATACAATATTTAAAGGGAAATGTAAATGATACATTTTCAAGTTATTTTTAAAAATTTTAGGCCCAGAATGGAAAAGTCTCCTCAAAATTTGTATACCATCTCTACTAATCAATTTCCTCTCCCAACACAAATAATGAGGTATGAAACTAAGTTATATAAAATACTTACAATTTAATATAATCTGAGAACTACTGGTTATAATACAGTTCAACATTAAAAAAATTATATTCCTGCTTTGAAACTCTGAGACACTTTTGTATTGTTATTTCATACTTTGAATTCTATGAAATCATAAGTTCCTTAAGTGTAAAATCTTTGGCAAATAATTTTACATATTTTTTTCAAATCCTTATACGGAGTCAAAGAGAAGACAGACACCAAATAATATCTGCTAAATTGGTGAATCTGGAATTCAATTAAGATTCACAGCACGTTTACTTTTAATATGATTTAAATCTCATTTGTAGTTGTCAAAAACAGCATTGTGTATTTAAAAATTTGTCAAGTTCCATTTTCATATAAATTCCAAATATAATGCGATATATGCATGAAATTCAATAAATGTATATAGCCTAAACTTTTTCTAATACTTTAAAAGTTTATAATAGACCATTCATGGTTAAAAACAAAGATTAGGGCAGTCCAAGTGGCTCAGTGGGTTTAGCGCCGCCTTTGGCCCGGGGCGTGATCCTGGAGACCCGGGATTGAGTCCCACGTCACACTCCCTGCATGGAGCCTGCTTCTCCCTCTGCCTGTGTCTTTGCCTGCCTCTCTCTCTCTGATGAATAAATAAATAAAATCTTAAAAAAAAAAAAAAATAAAAACAAAGATTTTTAAATAATAGTAAATTATTACTATTATTTTTGTTACGGTAAAATAATTGGGTATTTCAGTTAAGCATTTCTACCAAATTCTTTAGCTATAGCACAATAGGTTATGTTTTTTTTCTGTAACAATCATTCTTTTTTTCTTAAAGATTTTATTTATTGGTGCATGAAAGACAGAGAGAGAGAGAGAGAGAGAGAGACAGAGGCAGAGGGGAGAAGCAGGCTCCATGCAGGGAGCCTGACACGGGACTCGATCCCAGGTCTCCAGGATCACGCCCTGGGCTGAAGGCGGTGCTAAACCGCTGAACCATGGGCTGCCCCTGTAACAATCATTCTTTAAAAAAAAATGTCTTTTGAAGATAGATCTGTAAAAACTTACTTTATGTGAGCTCAACAGTTAAAAAACTTTTATTTTGTTGCCACTATTTAAACCTTGGGCAACTTCATGCAAAAATCTGAATTTCTCATGAAAAAGCGGATGATCTCCTATCACTGGCCCTAAATTCCTGACCAACAACTATGTAGTACAGCTTCATAACAACAACTGCTTCTTTACAGCTACTCCCGAGGTCAACATAGTAACTATCAATTTCTTTTATGAGACATCTGCAAAGATTTTTTGTAGAGGGCCAAAGAGCAAACACCTTAGGTTTATGTGGGCCATTTGTGTGTGTATACGTAAAAATAAATATATGCACATATATATGTATAAACACATATCCACACATACATGTATGTATCCAATAGTTGGGAGGAGAAAATAGCATACTTAAATATGTTGAAAAGCTCTATTAAAAATTTAAGGTTTTAAATCTCAGCTCCACTCAACACTTAGCAGTCCTGTCAATCTTAGTAATTTTGTCTATTCAACACAGAGTAGTTCTAGACCTTCACCATTCCACAGAAGTCCTCTAACTACTCTTTAGTTCCTTTTACTTTTAACATATTATCTCATCTCCTGACTTACAGAGAAATGTAGGGACCCTTAGCCATCATCTTCCTCAAACTCTTCTTGACTCTCAAATCTCTATTTTGACCCAGACTGTGTCCCTGGATTCTGAACTCATTACCCCTGCTCTACCTCCTTAATGGAGTAATATTCCATTACTATTCCAAAAACTAACACCTTTCACTGCAGTATATACTTAGTACCGTGCACATAACGATCCATATACCTGTATGTCTCCTCAAATTCAACATGGCCTCTACAATAGCAGGCCACATTGTATTTGTCTCACTGTGGTACTTATTCATATACTCCCGACAGTTCCTAGTTTATAGCAGTTAACTTATAGATGTCTATTAAATTATTTCAGGTTATGAATTAAACTCTTTCTGGAATAAAAGTAACCAACATTGAGGAAAGGAAAAAGAATCAAAGAGTGCCCTAGGGGAAAGAAACTAGTACAATCGCTTGTTTCATCACTATTACTACCATTAGTTTAAAACTGTCTTTCCCTCCCAGCTACAAAGCAATTAAGTCAAAGGTAAAAAAGCAATACATTATCCCCCAAAATGCTGAGGTGAGTTACAAAAAAAAAGGGGGGGAGGGGGGAGTGTCTCCTGAAAACTATGGCCTGATTCTTAGTTTTAAGTAGATATACTGATAATTATAAAAAGTAGTAAATTCAGAAAAAAACCAACCTTTCTTCTGTGCACTCTGGTTTCTCTGTCCCATCAATCTCAATTTCTATCAGCTCCTCTGCTTCTCTTTTAGTCATGGTTGGAGTATTTCAAAAGCTCAGTCCTGCAAAGAGTTAAAACTTAAGACATTTTGAAATGATCTCCATAAAAGAAATGCTATATAAAAAGTAGAAATCCAATTTAAATAAAAGCAGAAGAGAAAGTGATCTTCACATATAAAAGAAAATCCACAAATGAGATTTATATGAACCTGACATGACTTCATCGTTCCATGGTTATTTACTGGGATGTTTCTTGGCCCAAACTTAGTCCATATACTATTTTAAGTTACTTCAAAATTAAGTGAAAGGTATGTCACTATTATACAGCATCTCGATCTTAATAATGGATTTAAACCTGCACCTTAAAAATTAACATGGAGACAAATTATAGTTGTTCAGCTAAAAGCTGTACTTTAGTAGCAAAATATACTGCTAAACATTATAATGATTGTGACAAATTAATCATAGCCAGTATTTGTGTTATAAATGACATCTTATAAAGGCCAGTACAATATTCTAAAACAGCAAAATAAAGTAACGAATCATTACAGATATGCACATTATTGCCAATTACATATTAGAATTTTTTATTTTTTAGATGTGGTTTTATGTATTTTAAACCACTGATTTTTGATTCTCCTATGTAAAATTACCTGCTGCTTTAAACTACCATTAATACAAAATCATTGTAATTTTTAAAGTGCTAATTAATGCAAAAAATAGCTGCGTATATTTGCATTTCTTTGTGGCCATTTCTGAGGTCTTCATGCTTTTAAGTTCTAGGTTGTTATTTCTCACTGTCGCCAATGAATTTGTCTTTGGACTCCATATGTATAGTCTCAGTCCAGAGCAGAATTTTCTAAGTTTACTATTACATCTAAGAAAGCACTTTTACATGCTTCTGACTCTTTGACTTATAAGGACATTATCCTCTAAATAAATCTGGTATTGTATTCTATTATTCTCAAAGGAGTCTCCCACTTACAAGATTTGATGAAATGAAGACTTCAGATATCCATTCTAATAATAATAATAATAATAATAATAATAATAATAATATTTACTGAGCACCTGGCACAAGCATTAAAATGCTTTATAATCTTTACAACAGAACTACCTTATTTTGAGTCCACTCTCATGAAAACTATCCAGAGTCTAAGGGAGGCTTGGCTGCACATGGCTCTGTGTTACACTTTAGGTGCAACAACCTAAGTACACATTCTAGGTGAGGCTGAACCACAGTTTATTCAAAGATGGGCTCTATACGCAAACACAACACGAGTGCAAGAACTGCACAGTCTCTAACCTGGGATGCTGCCACAGTCCCAGCTAACAGGTTTCCCTGTTGCTGTGCCGTTGTCCCCACTAGGATCCATTCCCAGTCAATACAACAGCCAGCGCAATCCTTTTGAAAACTGAAGTTACAGCATAGCACTCCTTTGACTAAGAACAGTTACGGTAAAACCTAAAGACTTTGTGGTGGCCAGCAAGGCTCTACAAGGTCTACCTCCATCCCCACCCCTCTAACTACTGCCTCCGGCTCCTACACTAGTGTCATTGTTTGTCCTTGTATCTTCCTGCCCTCCAGCCTTTCTTTGCTCTTCCTAGCGGGTCTGCCTGGCATCTACTTCCCGCCAGCTGTCCTCCTGGCTACATACCTCACCTCTTTGATGTCTCCTCAAATCTCCTTTCCCCAATGAGGTATACCCTTACCACCCCATTTAATTCTGTAATTAGCCTCCTCTTTACCCTTTTATTCTATCTTCTTGTCCACAGCACCTGTCCATTTAACATACTTTATCAATAATTTCTGTATTATCTTTCTCCATTTTACTATCATCAAAGCACAAAGACCAAAATTGCCCAAGAGTGACTTCAGGAACTTAAATTAGTCTAGATTAGGGACTTTGCCAGCTTCCCAAAATAGGAGGAGCTCTGCCGGGTCTCAATTTCTCAAGAACCAAAGTCTCTGGAAGACACAAGAACCCAAAGCCTGTGAATATGCAAAGTTACGTGGCAAAGGGGAGTTAGGATTACCAGGTCATCTTAAAATACAGATTATCCAGGATTACCCAATTGGATCTAACAAAATCACAAGAGTCCTTAAAAATGAAAGAGGGAATCTGTAGAGATCCAAAGTGATTCAAAGCAAGAAAAACACAACGGTCTGCTGTGACTGGTTTGGAAGACGGAGGGAAGGAGTCACAAGCCAAAAACACAAAAAGCCTCTAAAAGCTGAAAAATGAAACAAATTCTCCCCTAGAACCTTTAGAAGAACCACAGTTCTGTTAACATCTGATTTCAGTCCAGAAAGATCCATTTCAGACTTGATTTCCAGAACTATATATAATTAATTGATGGTTTATTTAAGCCACTAAATGTAATTTGTCACACAGTAGTACTAGAAAACTATCTTCTTTCCCGCTTTAGAAGGGCTATAACTCTCCTTAGGTCTCACCATCTCCAGCAGCTGAGAAGCGGGTTTTCTGACAATTTAGTCTCTAAATATCTGGCACCGGAAATCAAGGCTAATAAAAATGGTCTGATTTCCTCCCACATTATCGACATTGCTCTCACACCCGTCCTATAAAAAGGAAGAACAATAAGGGGATGGGGTTCTCCATGTGAGTCGATACACAACATGCACATCCAGCAGACTGCCTAGGCCCCAGCCGACTTTTGTTCAGGATGATGAAAGGATTAAGGATTTTTCTTGTTGTCTGTGGACTAATTAAGTCTTCCCTTTCCCAGTAAAACCTATCCTTTCACTGATGCTATACATAAAATGGTGGATTTCATTCCGAGCACTATAGCAAAACAAGTAATGACCCAGTAGGGACCTACTTACAGGACAACTTAAGCTCCACAAGAGCAAGGATATCTGTTTATAGATGTATACAAAGTACTTGGAATGGTGCCTCATCCTTAATAGCCATTCCATTAATATGTGTTGAAAAGATAAAAGCTATAAGGACTATTATACATCAGATAAAATTGGCTCCAGATGCCTTCAAGGCTTTACATAAAGTAAAACTATAAAGCTAATAAAAGAAAATGGTGGGGATTTTTTTGCAGTCTAAGGACAGAAAAAGATTTCTTAAAATTCCAAACATATAAACCATAAGGACAAATACTGATGGGTTTCATTACATAAAAATTAAGATTTCTGTTCAACAGACAGGCTACAGAGTGGGGAAAATATATTTCCAATATTCAAAAATAACAGGGACTAATAATTGGAATGCAGACAAAGAGTTCCTACTATAAGTTGATAACCTCAAAAAAAGTCAGGACAAATTAGAAAAATAAAGCATAGGAAAAGGAAATTCACATGAAAGCAAAGCAAAACAGCTAAGGATTCGAAGAGATGCTCAAATTCACATCATCCCCCAAAATGCAATTTAAAACAAAGAACTCTAACTGTACACCATGTGTGTTGGTGTGTACAAGGCAAAAACTAGAAATCTGACTACCAGAGTGTTAGTAGGGATGTGAGAATGTAAAAATCCTCTGCTGCTAGTGATGAGGTATGGACAGGTGTAGCTATTTTGGAGAATAATCTAGCAGCATTTGTTCAACTCAAGTATGCCTGTATTTATGACCCAGCAATACTCTCCTTAGATAAGCATTAGACATTCTCACACTGATATAATAGGATGTTCAGGACAGTTTTGTTGGTGATAGGTGGAAGCTGAAGCCAATAAGGGTATCCATGGTAAGAAAACACCACATGCTAGAAAACTTTATTAGAAGGTAGAAATAAGAAAATAATGTATATACACACAATCATAAAAACCGATCCGTATCAGAAAAAGTGAGAAACAGAGTGAGGTTTATAGCAGAACACTTAAAAAGATCACTCATGGGGCACTGGGATGGCTCGGTTGGTTGGGTAGCTGGCTCTTGGTTTCGGATCAAGTCATGATCTCAGGGTCCTGGGATCAAGTCCACCGCGGGCTCTAGCTGAGAGGGGTGTCAGCCTGTGGATTCTCTCTCCTCCCTCTGTTCCTCCCCAATCCTCACTGTCTCTCTCTAAAATAAATTAATAAATCTTTAAAAAAAATCACTTAAGTTTTATTTTTAGGGCTTACACTCATCATCTACTCTTATCTTCATTACTTAGTATTTTTTAAAATTATTATCTACTTTTATCTTCATTATTTTTTTAATTAAATAAGCTCCACACTCAACCTGGGGCTTGAACTCATGACCCTCAGATCAAGAGTTGCATGCTCTACTAAGCCAGCCATGTGCCCCCTCATAGTCAATTAAAAAAAAAAAAGAAGAATAAAGAAGAAAAAAGAAAAAGAAAAATATAAAGCAAGTGCAATTTCTGGGAACTATGGAAAAATAGAAATGAAAAAGTAACCAGAAGCTGAGAAACAGCCCTAAAGGCTTCTTAGCAGGGATAATGGTAGCTGGACTTAAACACAAGCATTAAAACAGGGAGTTGTTGAAAAGATATCCTGTGATCTCCCGAAAAAGTTACAGATTAGTTACCCACAAAGTACCAAATAAAGTAAAAAAAAAAAAAATGAGTCTTACATACTTTGGGGGGGGGGAATCACGTTACTCATTGATCTCTTTTTCTCTCCCTCTAAATCTAGAGAAGCAGTGGAGAGGTTTGGGAAATTATTCAAATCTTTGATACCAGCGCTTGAACGAGTCTTAGCTCTTTTTCTGGAACCAACTCTCCAGAATTCTATGTCAGTTCCTAAGAAAATGGAGAAGAGAACATTACTTGGAGCCTCTTCACCTAAGGTCTGCCTGCCACCCGATGCCCTGGTTTCTCCTAGATTACATCTAACCTGGGGTTCAGAACACTTCTCAAAATGGATACAAATTAACTAAAAATTCCTAGAAAGGCTAGTTTTCTTTAAAATAGTTACATTTATAACTTTCTCTTTTGGAGCCACAGATAAATGTGAGGATTGCATTTTCTTCATTGCGGTGCATGATTAGTTTACAGATGTTAGGGCCATTTTGCCCACTGAAGGAAAATAAAGAATACATAAATGTAAGCAGCACAGTATAGGGGTACCCGGAGGACCGAGGACGCATTTCCCCAAGCTAACAAATACTTTTAAATACTGGAAGAAATTAAAAGGCGTTTCTGATTTTTAAAAATAAAGCCAACAGTCGAAGCCAGGGTGAGAAAGGTTAAAACACTTGGTGACCGCCTCCCTCACCGCCGACTGGTGGAGGGTTTTTACTGTGTAATTTGTTTTCCAGGAATCTAGTAGGCTTGGAAGTTGGAGAGAGACTAAACAGTTTTAACCTAGTATTCAGCCTCCCCATGGTGCCACAACTCACCCCAATTAAACATCTCACTCCTTATTTTGCTACTCCAAGCCTCTACCCTCCCTTTACGGCATGTACATCTGCAGTCCAGGTAAAACTGCCTTAAGCCCACCTAGTGTCAGAGTATGTCTTTAAAGATAAAAATAAATAAATAAATAAATAAATAAATAAATAAATAAAATAAATAAAGCAAGCTTGGCTAGTGTCAGAGTATGTCTTTAAAGATAAAATAAATAAATAAACAAACAAATAAATAAATAAAGCAAGCTTGGCTAGTGTCAGAGTATGTCTTTAAAGATAGATAGATAGATAGATAAATAAATAAATAAATAAATAAATAAATAAATAAATAAATAAAGCAAGCTTGGCTAGTGTCAGAGTATGTCTTTAAAGATAAATAAATAAATAAAGCAAGCAAGCAAGCTTGGAAACCCCAGATCAAGACCCCAAGAAGGCCAGGTCGTTCCCCTAAGGTGGCTCCTACCGAGCTGCCTCATCTCTTCTTAGGCTCAGGACAACACAGTTCCCAGGAATGCCCCCGCCGCGCGGCCCTGGGCTCCCGGGGGACCTCTCTAAAGCTCAGCTCCTCCCACGCGTCGGACCCGGCGTCGCTGCTGGTGGAATCGGCCAGTGGGAACTATCTGGGAAGCGGACCCTCCTCCTAAAGCACCACGCCTCACCTCGCGAGGCGGTATCAGGCACTGTTCTCCTCGCTGCGCACCCGCGCACACCAGGATCCCCAAGTGCACTGCCAACACGCGCAAACGGCTCCTCTTCCAGAACGCAGAGCGCCAAAGGCGCTGGCGAGCTGCATCCACCCATCGTCCTCCCTCCCCTTCCCCTCGACGTTCCCTCGTTTCTTAAGCGAGCTCCCCACGGGCACCCTATGCATCCGTCAGCGGCCTCGGAGCAGCTGTGGGACGGGTCTGGAAAGGCCGCCGGAGGGGAGGGGAGGGGAGGGGAGGGAGGGAGAAGCGCAGCGCTGAGCTGGCGAGGAGACCGGCTCGGCACCTCCCTCGGACACCCCGCGGCGTCAGGCTCCGGCCAGACCGCGGCGACCGCCGGGGAAGGCCGGGAAGGCCGGGAAGGCCGGGAAGGCCGGGAAGGCCGGGCGGCAGCGGAGAGCGCCTCGGGCGGCCCGGCCCGGCCCGGGGGCGCGCGGCTGCCCAGGGGCCCGCGCCGCGCGCCCCTCCCCTCCGCTCCCCGCACTGCCTCCCCCGCCCCTCCCCACCCGGCTCCCTCAAGTCTCCACGAACGGAAATGGGAGTCACAGCGCCGGGGACCAGCGGAAACAAAACACAGAGGCGGCCGCGGGGGGGCCGCTGCGGGTGAGGAGGCCCCGGAACGAGGCCGGCCCGCGCGGGCCCGCGCTCCCTCCCGCCCCCGCGGCCGCACTCACCCGCTCCGGAATCCGCCCCGTCGCCCCCACCCGCGCTCCAGAGCCGGCTGAGAACAGCAGGGGCGCGGGCTCCACGCGCAGCGTCTCCCTGAGTAAGACCCGCGGCTCCCGCGACCCGAAGTGTGAGGCCCCTGGGCCCTTCCCGCGGAATCGGCGCTGAGAAACTCCAACCCCCCTCCCGCCTCCCAGGCACCCCCGGGTCCGGGACTACAACTCCCAGCAGGTTGCGCGAAACGAACGCCTGAGGCAACGGAGGCTCGCGAGGCACACGGGAGCCCAACGCCCCCACTCCGCTTTGTTTTACGCTCTCACTTTCCGGGCATAGTCATTTCCTAAAACCTCAACAACCCCAACGAACAGGATGCTGACTTGGGTCTGGGAGGATTTTTAACTAGGGAACAGGCCGATCAAAGTGCGCATGCGTGCACAAAAGAAGGCTTCCAGGAGGTGAAAGACAGCAGGTCGAA